AAAATTGAACCCTGGGGAACCCCACATGACAGAGGAGCAGAAAAGGATTCAAATCCTGCAATTTTTACATTTTAAAAAGACAAAACTTAAAAAAGTTGTCTATTGAGCCTTGCAGCCACTTTCAGAAACACARTTTAAGCTGCTGAAGCTGACACAGTAATTCTGGATGTGAAGTTTCTGCAGCAACAGCCCTAAATACGTCTAATTCAGGTGGACCATAAAGTTCTGTAAAGGTGCCTCAGGCAGGGTTCGTGCAGGGTCTTAAAAAGTCTAAAAAGGTCTAAAATTTGAAAATCAAAATTTTAGGCCTAAAAAGTCTTTAAAATGCCCAGATTTTTGTTTAAGGTCGTAAATTTAATTTKGTCAAATCTTATCTTTTTTACCTTCGTCCTGACAAGCGTTGGCTGCATAAATGAACAAGAAAAAGGTGCTGTAATCAGAGCTTGATGAAAATTATTGTTCTTGTATAAAAGTGAAAAATTCTTTAATAACTAAATTGATCGCAATAAAAGGTTTCTATGTTAAAATTTCTGGAACCATTTGAATGTTTTCATTAATGCGTCTGTTTGGTCTTAAATGTCATTCTGGATGGTCTTAAAAGGTCTTAAATTTAACTTACTGAAACACGTATGAACCCTGCTCAGGTGAATTGTTTGTTTTCTAAACATCTCCTGATTGTCACTTCCTGTTTGTTGCGGAGCAGAGAGCAGCTTGTTGACTGAGGCTCCGCCCACTCCTTCAATGTACAAGTACCGACCAGCCTACAGCAGCCCGGGAAGGAACCACGCTGCCCCCCAGCACCTAACTAAGGTACGTTTTCGATCCTAGATCGCTCTGATTATTTCCAGATCAGAGGAAACGATCACCTGGGAAAATTAAACAAAACGTGTTTTTTTTAAAGAATTTGTTTACAGATCAACCTGATTTTAGACAGATGTGAGTTTTTGCACTAAAAGCAGTGTTGAGAGCAGAACAGTGCCATGAGTTGGCTGGTTTTGTCTGCCTTCTGATTAATAAATGCCCTTCCTTTTGTTTTTGCTTTAAATTGACCGTTCAGTGGCCACCGGTTGAGCAGTAAGTCTCACTGTGTGTGTGTCCCTGTGTKTGTCTGAGTGGCTCTATCCTTCCCCCCCTGAGACTGCATTGACTGGAATGTGAAGTTCATTGGTCACATGTTGTTGTAACTCCATCCATGTGTCGACAAACACRGTCTTTGACAGTCAGTGTTCAGATTCCAGTAGTGTGATGATGATGGAGTAGAGCACCGGTCAAAGCATCCAACGCTCCCCACCACTCCTTTTTTTGTCCTGTACTGTTCTCTCCTTTTTAAATAAGATGAAAGTTTCCATCCTTCTGCACTTCCTCACGTCTTTTTATCTACTTCTGTTTTTTTTTTCTTTCCCAGATGACCCGTGGGGAGAGTCTCGACTCTCCGTCTCCCTCCATCCTCCAGTCCAGCCGTCAGCCCAGCTACCGCTCGGAGCCGAGCAGCCTGGACGGGGCCACAGCGGTGGGAGGAGGTGTAGGGGTGCGCAGAGGGGGAGGGGAGAGGGGCGAGGGCCCCGGAGGCCCTGGCAGGACTGCTGGTGTGGTGTCGGGTTACTCCCTGACTGGGCGCTCCTACACCTCCTACCCATCCTCGCTGGTCCTGTCCACCGGCGGCTCCCACTCATCCAGCCTGCGTTCAGCCCAGACTGTCCACAACCCGCTGGCCACGCTCCAATCAGAGGGCACCACAGACACCAGCTACAAGAGCCTGGCCAATCAGACRCCTCGAAACGGCAGCCTGTCCTACGACAGCCTGCTGACGCCATCCGAGAGCCCGGAGTTYGAGTCGGCCGCCCACGAGCTGTCGCCGCTGAAGCCTCGCGTGCCGTTCCACCTGTCGCCGGTCACGGGACCCCCGGAGGCCGTGTCACCCAGCAGCCCGCTGCAGGGCTACACGTCGCCCTTCCTCTCGGCTCAGATCGCTCAGCAGAGGGAGGGGCAGCTGCTCCAGGGCTCCACCACTTTCTCCTCCCCCCACAGGGCCTACCTGCGTGCYGTCGGCCCGACACCCCCCTCCTCTCTGGGGCCTCCCGAGGCCCACCACCTGCTCCAGCACAACCAAGACCTCGCCCCCCGAAACGCCCGTAACTCTTCCTCCTCGTCCTCCTCCCCCGGGGCCCGCTCGCTGGAGGCCCCCGTCTCYCCGCCGCCTCGCGGCCTCTCCCTCTCCAAGTCCCCATCCCACAYGGGGGAGGTGGGGCCGCAGCACAAGCTTCGGCCCGCGGGAGGAGGGGGAGGGGCTGGAGGAGGGCAACAGGCTCCACAGTGAGTAGTGACCCGTCAGCAGATCCTTCAGCCTGCCACTCTCCTCCTTTTTCTGSTGTTTCTCTTTCCCGGTCTGTGTCAGCCCTCCTCTTCCTCCCTGATCTGTGTGAGTCTTCCTCTTCCTCCTACATACTGCAGTCAGGCGCTGCTTGTTTACTCGTTTGTTTGTTGTGTAGATTAAATATTCAAAGCATGTCAGTGTTCGTTCAGCTCCAGTTTTTGTACGATTTGCTTGTCCTGTGGTTTAATTTCCTTCTGTTCYTTTTTTAAAAGTTCACAAATCCTTTACAAGATTCAAGGTAGAGGAGAAATTAGTTTACTTATAAATGTCTGAAGCAAACCTTCTCATGTCCGCCTTCTCCTTTCTCCTCTCTTTCTCTCCTGAACGGACGTCCAATCAGATCCACCTCTCGCCCGGCCCTGGCCAATCACAGCACAGCTAAACCAGGGGGCGGGGTGAAGAAGGTCACTGGCGTCGGAGGGACCACGTACGAGATATCGGTCTGAGTGACGAACATCACAGAGGAGGGAGGGGCCGCCGGACTTCTTGCACTTATTTTCCCCTCTTTCGTAAGCTGGATATGTTTCATGACTGAAGGCCTCTGCTGTTCTGTTGGGACTCGACGGGCRGGGGGCCGGACCCGTCTGGTACTCACTCTACTTCATGAAATGATGCTGGCCTGTCTCCACAGAGCCTTTCAGATATAACAGACAGAAACTGGAGGTTTTAAATCTCTCACAGGATCAACTGTTTCACTACTTTGATGGAGGCAGCCTGGSTTCAAACCAACGGTTCCTGTTTGCTCCTTCACTTTGGTACATTAACTCAGACATTTGACAAGGATGGTCTTTATCCACGAGAGGTAGGATTAAAAACTGCTGACCAATCAAATCATCCGAACGGACCACCCGGMGGGACCTTCAAACACAGTATCATTTATGTTTTATATGTATTTTTTTAAGATATCATTTTATATAAAACGTACAGATTGAGTTGGACGATCGGAGGCTGTTGATGAGGGTTCTGGACGTTATCATGGTTTCAGACCAGTTGCCGGTTTTTTTTTTTTTTTTGTATTTCTGTTTTTGTTTTACAATCGATGGCTGCATCAGCCACCACCTGCAAGAATTCTCATCATCCAAAGAAAACGATGATGCTTGACGGACACCAGAAGTGGCTGATAATCAAAATTATTGTTTAAAAAAAGAGAGGGAAAAAAAAGCCACAAAGAAATTTTAATTCTCACAACTGCAGCACAAACGTCTTTGTGGAATGTACGCTTGTAACGTTTGTGCTAGAGACATTATGCAAAAATCTGTTTGTAGCTTTAAAATTGTCTTTTTTTAGTGTTTTTTTTTTCTTTTTCGTCTTTTAATTTGTCTATCAGTAAATATCAACGACCTTAAATGGGTGTTTTAGCCAAATAGGAAGCAGCGAGGGAAGGGCTTATTTATTTCAGAGGAGAAAAGCAAATAAAATCAGAAATCTGAAGATATTTTATAAGCAGAACTTTATAAATAAAACATGAGATGCCATTTAGTAGATTGCAGATTGGGTTTGTTTGTGTTGATTTGATTTTTTTGCCTTGAAAACATTTAGTGAAGTCAGTTTTTTATTATAATTAATTTTACACTTTTTATTACCAAGGAAATTAGACTCTTTTTTTTTTTTAAACAAATGAGATGTTTTTTTTTCTTTCCCTCTGCCACATATAGAAAGGATCCATCAGACAAAGGGAGATGTTTTTTTTTCTAGTTTGGGGATTATGTAGTTATAATTTATTTATTTTCTTAGTGAAGTCCCACAGCAGTGTTAGCAGTAGAAAGTTAGCGCTAGAGTCAGCCTTTTGTCTTTGGTTGGCATGTGATTATTTTTATTTTATTTTGTCGTGCTGACTGCTTCACAGGCGTGCATTCGTGTGACCATCGACAATATCCACCCAGTTTATACGTGCAGGTGACAAAAAGAAACATCCCCAATGGCACAAGACATCTGTCGCACAGCGATAAACAGAACTGGTTTTTGTTTTTTTATTTTTTCAGCTTTGGCCGAGGGTCGTGACCTCTCTGAACAATCTGAAACTACGAGCTCGTAGTAATACTTCTGTGTCGGGTCAACTCTTTGCTGTATCAGACGGAACGAGTTTCACAGATATCTGTAACGAATACATTTCCAAAATGGCCTTACCAAGAATTTTTAAGAAGATGTCTTCTCAGAATAATAAAAAAAAGAAGGTCAAACTGAACGTGTCGCCACTCTCGTCTGTTTGTTTCAATTTTGGGTTTTACTTAGATAGTAAACAGAACAGGTGAGCACAGGTTGACATGCAGTGATGAGAAGCGGCTGAAAGAGACAAAAATGTCCTTTTTTTGTGTCACATTATGGATTTCTACAAAAATGTACAACTAAACGGGAGTGATCTTCTTCACTGATCCTTTTTGCTTTCTGTCGGCTGCTTCGCTTCCTCGCTTTCCTCGTGAAGCTCTTCGTCGCCCTCTTGTGCCCGAGAGCTGCTCTCGTCCTTCGGAGCCAGAGTTTTGTTCAGCTTCTTGGACTTCTGGAAAAGCTCGTTGAGGTTAAACTCTCGGATGATGTTCTCCTGCGGGGGGAGGGGGGTCCAGTTAGCACTGTTTCGCATCATTTGTAAGCCAGTCACACACAAGCAGCCTCTGCTGTGTGTTTTGTTGAAAGACAAAAACAGACCTCATTAAAAGTCCAAGAGACCGCTCTCCCTTTCTTGTCCACCATTGGACGTCGCAGAACCTCCCGCCCACCTTGGAACAGCAGCAGCGAGGGCAGCTGCTTCGACAGAGGAGACGTGCTGACGCCGTACCTGTTGAGAAACTATTTTTTTAAAAATGTGCCAAAATGACATTTTAAAAAAAAAGTTWAAAAAAAATCTTTATTTCAAAACGGACACAAAACAAACAAAATATGTATGTATGAAAAGAAAAGTGCTGTGGCTTTAAAGCTGCTTTATAAGAATCAGGAAACATAATAAAGACCTTTGTGAAACCTCTCCGTATCGACCGATGTCCACTTTCCCAAACCTGAGACCAGCACAGTTGTACCTGCAGAAAACAAACTGTTCGTTTATATTTATCTCAGCAACATTTAGAGTGACTTATGAGGAGCAAGCTAAAGGTTTAACAGAACAAAAAAAAAAAAAAATAGTAAAAAATAAAAATCTTTCAGTTCTATTTGTTTTTCACAGAGTTCTCAGTCCACTGAGGTTTGCCTGGTTCATTATAAAACCTTGACTCTATTGAAGGTTTGCTGTGCGACCCGATTGTTGGACAGAGCTTTGGGCGTCAGACAGATGGCCTCAAATTGAAGTTAACAGAGATTACAAAACTTTTCAGCTTCTCTCTGTAAAATAATAAGACTCCAGATTAACAGCCTAATAACTTAACAACAGGTGCTTTCCTCCTCAGCTGTGTAAAAACACCTGAATGCTTCAAACCAGCACCTACTTATTAACTAGTGTTCACTAACCAGCAGGAGATATATAAGGAGTTATAAGTGTGTGCATTTTTCTCCACACTTATCTCTGCTCTTTTTATTTAATAAGGTGATGTGTTGTGTTTTACATCTTAAAACAAGAAAAGTTGATGGATTTACGGTGTTAAATCTAACAATAAGAGAAGCGCACAGTGACTGTAACAGAGCGAATAGTGAGGGGCAGGTAGATTTCCTACTTCAGAGAAAGGTCAGCAAAGATGGGAGCAAAGGACTGACAATCGGAGGACCAGTTGGCGTAGAACTCGACGATCCAMGTGACACGACCGTCTCTCTGCAGCTCCTCCTGGAAACACAAAGACACATTCAAACATGACAGGTAAACATCAAGCATATCGATACCCAATAGTTATAAACCTATGACAGGTGAACAATGTTATAATGAGTCCTACATAGGGCTGCCACGAT